GACAATGTTCAGTGTGATTCGAAATCGAGATTTTCAAGTAAATCCTTGGCATACTGAAAGCCCCCCCCCCCCCTCCATGGGTTCCAGATCTTGAACTCATTGCTTATATATACTTACATACGTATATATATATATGGATATATTTATATATGTGTGTATGCATGTACAGACACACATTCATGCACACACATATATAAATGTATATACATATCTGTATACATGTATACATATATATGTGAATATACATATACACATGTATATGCACACACAAATATATACAGCTACATGTATATGCGTATATATGTATATATATATTTATGTTTGTACACACACACACACATATACATATATATGAGTACATATATTCGTTTACATACGCATACACAGACATTAATATGTATAAATATATGCATATATGTATACACTTATATTTATATATGTGTGTATGTATATAAACACACATTGTATATATATATATATATATATATATATATATATATATATATATATATATATATGTATGTGTGTACATATGTCTATACATAAGTACATACATAAATACATACATATATCTATCTATCTATCTATCTATCTATCTATCTATCTATCTATCTATCTATCTATCTATATATATATATAATATATATATATATATGAATATGTACATGCACACACACACACCAACAGACAACACACACACAAACAAACATTCACACTCACACACATATACACACATATATATGCATGTATATATATGTATGTATTCGCACATACGCACACAGTCTATGAAAGGTTTGCAGGGATATGAATCGCCTTATTGGGCAGGTTTAGAAATCCGAGTCGCGATTCAAAAAGGTGAAGCGCGAATGCCAGTCCCTAGGACTGGTCATGCGTAGCAGTTGGTTTATGCCTGATGCACTCAAACTGAGAGACATTTCTTAACAGTTGCTCGTGTTATGTTTACACACACACACACACACACACACACACACACACACACACACACACACACACACATATATATTATAATATATATAATATATATATATATATATATATATATATATAGCGTTAGAACTGACTTGAAGAGTGTCTTAAAACTATCATAAATAATTCAAATTTGATTTAATGATCTCCCGTATGCTTAAAATGATACAACTGAAACCGATGTGCAGGAAAGTGACTAAAATAGACTGTGAATTGAAATTATGAAGTCAAATCTGAAAATCGTCAATCGAATCTGTATGAAAATTATGGCATCATGTTACTTGTGTTTTTCCGCATAAAAAAAGAGTCAAAGAAAGAAACCGAAAGTAATTTAAAGCTTAATGAGGGACAGAAGAGGCGCAGCTAGAAAGAAAGTGCAACATGTCTTTCACTTGTTTCGCTTTGTTGACTTTTTGACTATATACTGACATTCAATATATAAGACAATTGACTGTAGCGCCGTTTTTTTTTTTTTTTTTTTTTTTTTTTTTTTTTTTTTTTTTTTTTTTTCTTACCATGACATATACTTAAAAGAAAGCACGAAAAGGAGAGGAAAAAGCATGTACATATATGTATAGATATGTAAATATGTAAACATGTATGTGTATAATTTTTCATATATGTATACATATGTATGCATGTATATACTTGAATATATATACATACATGTATATATATATTATATATATATATTATATATATATATATATATATATATATATATATATATATATAATATATATATAAGTATATATGTGTGTATGCATGTACTCGTATATATACATATATATACGTATATATACATAGATATACGTACATATGCATATATATTATATATATATACGTATATATAAATATATATTATACATATATATACGTATATATATACATATATAATGTATGCATTATCTGGCTAGACAGCTATCTGTACATACTAAAACAGGAATCGCTTTTAACAGTAAATGAATTAAGCATTACGATTTGTACTTTATTTTTGGTAGACCAATAACCTGTATAACAATCCCAGAGAAAGTCCAGTTTTTGTGATAAGAATTTTCATCGGCAATTTCCTGTTGCAACGAAGGGCAGCCTAGAGATCTCGTTTGAAGGGAAGCTGAGGAGGCTCAACGAGTCCTTCGAACTCCTCGCTAGACGAGGCTACGAGGACTCGCGATTCCTCCTCCCAGTCCCAGTGAGGAAGGATGCTGAGAGTGTCGTCCTATTCCTCAGCGACTGGTTTGTCCTCTGCTACCGCCTTTTCTTCAGCCATAGGTTCCTCCTCAGCCATTGGTTCCTCATCGGATGCAGCTTTTTCCTCAGCTATAGGTTCCTCCTCAGCCATAAGTTTTCTCCTCAGCCATTAGCTCCTCCTCAGCATCAGCTCCTTAGCCGCTCTCCTCAGCCATTAGCTCCTTAGACATCAGCTCCTCAGCCACTACTTCTTCCTCAGCCATTAGCTCCTCCAGTCATCAGCTTCTTAGCCATAAGCTCTTCCATGCCTGCAGCTTCCTCCTCAGTCATAGGTTCCTCCTCGACGGCCTCGTCGGCCTTGACCATGAAGGGGTAAGTGTAAGGGAAGCTGTAGGGGAAGGTGTTGGGGAAGGTGTTGGGGAAGGTGTGGGGGTAGGTGTAGGTTTGGGGGAGATTGTGACCTGTTGGAGGAGGAATATTTAGCACGATATGTATAATAAAGAATTCTGAATTACGAATATTTGATGGCATTATGATATCACTTTCAATAGAACAAGGAATATTCTAAATTTTGTCAAAATGTAGAGATACATTTGAAGGAGAAAATGTTTTCAGTATGAGACTGACCGTAGGGGTAGACGAGGGGCACGGTGCTGGCAGGGGTATGTGCCTTGGCAGAGTTGACGACGGGGTAGGAGGAGTGGACGTATGGATGGCCGTAGGAGTAGACGAAGCCGGGGTGAGGAGAGGGCATGGCAGCAGCACAGGCCGCCAGAGCGAGAACCAGCTGTTACGATGTTAAACAGTGCATCAAATGTATGAAAATTTTTCCCATGGAGGCCGCACCATGAATGTTCTATGGCTTACTGTCCTATTCTTATTGGAAATACAAATTGAAGTGCTCATAACTTTTAAGTCACAGCGAGATCTTACCATAACCTTCATGATGAATATTCGTCTTGAGGAATCCGAGATGGACGACTGACAGCTGACTAGGCTCGTCGCAGGCTTATATACGCAGTCCATAGTAAGGGGAACAAATGATGACGTCATTCATGGAGTTACTACTACGTTTGATTTTTTCCAAAAAAAAAAACGTTTTGATTATTTGTTTATTATATGTACTGGGGTCTTAACATGTTTGTTTATTTTAAGAAAGAAATGTTTATATACTTAAGGCTTATTTACAGTAATGATCATCCATAAATTGAGTTATGATTAGAGAAAATGTTAACTATGACCACAACCGTTTCTCGCGTGAACAGACCCAGAACCGGTAGTACGGAACTATCACCATA